CAAACTGTCAGTGTTCCGTGCCGCCGGACTTTTTAATGCACTCCACGTGCTAGGCATTACGCCAATTTTTTTTTCAGTTTCCTCTTCCTTGCTGCCTATTGGGACAATACTAACTTATACAATGCCTTCATAACTACACCAATAGCGCAAGTATTTCCTCCCTTATTGTCCTTTTTCTTTTCCCTCCTCCAGTTCTACCGGTGAACATTTTAATGGTGAACTACCTGGGTAGACGCTACTCTCTAGCCTGTATCTACCTCCTTTTGGCTGTCTTCTTCGTTGCTATCAACATCTGTGTTCCGTACACCGTGACCATCAGTTTCCTCTTCATCCTGCGAGCTTTATCCTCCTCCACTCTCAATCTTGCCTACCTCTACACCACTGAGGTAAGTTGCAACACAAAGGGTAATGCAAAGATTGCCTACGAAAGCTACCAAGCGTATGCTTATACGAGGTGGTACCAAATATACGCGACACATTTACTTAACTGTTTTTTTTTAAATTTAAGATACCATCTTAAAAACAGTAATCTCCATCACAACGCTATCCAGTAGACGATATGTACTTATCCCGAGGGATTTTCCACTGTTCGAAATACCGTCTATATTCTTCCAAACCAATGCTGCTAAGTGCCTCCAGGGAGTTTTTTTCTTAAACGACTCTACCTTCCAAAACCGTGTTCCCTTGAGGTTATTGGTCATTCTCGGCTAGGTCGAGAGAGTAAGGGGTGAGAGAATGGTGTCGTGTCTTTTATCGGCCAAAACTGATGATATTTTGTGAACATGTACATCTCTACAGGGAGTTGAGGGGCGACTTGAATAGGGCTCATATTTATGTGCGATTTGTAGTTCCGAAATCAGGCAAACCACGTGTAATTCTTGCCTGGCTTAGAACGTCTCGTCCATAAGCTTCTCGAAGTATTGAAATGGTTCCTGGGGCGTTTGTAGCTCAGTGGTTAGAGCGTTGGCTTCCGGTAAAGGCCTTCCCTACTACGCGGGTTCAGATCCCGCCGAACGCCTCAAGTTTTCCACAATTGGGTCAACTCAAATTTAACAGAAAAAATAAAAACTTGGTGTTGGCACCTAGCTCTCTAAAGTTTGTCGTCGCGAAATCGCCGATAGCGTTCAGATGAGGTTTAATAAAAACAACCCCTCTG